CAAATGATTTCCGCATATATGTACATATAACAGCTGCCAAATTTGTACAAAATTCTCTTGACAATACATAACGGTAAAGCGCATTACACAAATGGATAATTAAAGCTACCAAAATTGGTAATTAACAGTTGGATATGGCAATCGATCGACAGATCCGATCGATCGATCGATCGAGCGAGCGACACCTGCTGCTGCTTGGCATTCCATTTGTTTTTTTTTTTTTTTTGTGTTGCTCTCGTCTGAACTGTATATGATGTATGTTGTTTTTTATTACCAAAATCGTCTAAGAATCTGGTTGACAACTTTGGCTAATAAGTTTGTTGACTGCGATTTCTCTTTAGAGTTCACTTCCTGTATTCAATTAGTCATTTGTGTGCGGCAGACGAATTTGGGTTTTGCCATTACAAATTGTACCGTTAACAGCTTGGCCCTGAATCAGCCGCTTCAGTTGGCAGCCTCGATCGATTAAGGCGAACAGACAGACGGACGATCGGACGTACTCAACATGCTTTTGAGATTGTCGCCTCGTGACAGACAGCAAATCGCCTTAAAAGAACAAATTACAAATTCACTTGATGTAGTCAGGTATGTGTATATGTATGTGTGTGTGTTTGTGCCTGTGTAGGTGTCAGCTGCGATCCACAAATGAGTTGAGGCAGCCGTACATTTTGCGGTGTCAAAAAGTTGTGAAATTTTATGGGAATTTCGTTTATTTATTTTTGGCAAAATTGGTAATCTAATTAAAATTAGTCAGACGACACTCATGGCCTTTGTGCTGTCAGCTCTTGCTGATCGCAATCTTCAGCTCCATCAGAATTGTCTTTTCCTAAATGAAATGTAGAAATGATTCTCGGCCTAAGTAAGCCGTAGAGTCATAGCAACAACTGTTAACTAGCTTTTGGCTGTTGAAAGCGGCAAAGAGCTGCTTAAGCAGCAATATTAGCAAACGGCAAGATCTGGGCTTTCAGGCCCAGTGACCAACTTGGCTAGTTGGTGGGGAATTCCCCTGCCACCTTGACGCCCGCAACAGTCATCGAAACTTGTTTCAATTTCGATTTCTGCGCTGCGACGCAGTTGTTGCCTGATATTCCGACTCGCATTTAGTTGTTAACGTTCTTGTTGCTGTTGCCTTAGTAGTTGTTGTAGTTATTTTTTGCAAACACTTCAAGGCCATCATGAGCAGCATATGCTGCTGCTGCTGCTGCTGCGGTCTCGACTCTGACGTTCTGACGTACGGACTCGACTCGGTGGGGCCTGACATGTAATCAACTGCAGGAAAAAATCAAGAACTGCAAAACGAGACATAGAGCAAAGACTTAGATGGGTCTACGTGAATCCGGAATATACTTTATAGATGTTTAAAATATATTTATGTTATTATTTGGCATATCTATTATTTTTATTAATATAAAAATAGTATGAAATTTTCAATCTTATGTATAGTTTCACAATTTTGCAGCATTTTTAGTATTTTTTTAGTATTTTTAGTATTTTTTACTATTTTCAGATACAAGAAATTTATGTTCAATTACTCAACTATGTTAACATTATTATATATGTGAATTTCAAAGTTTATTTGCTTATTCTTCCTAAAATGTCTCTTGAGTACTTTTTGCACCATTTTCACAATTTTGCAATATTCTTAGTATTGTCAGTATTTTTCTAGTATTTTTTCAGTATTTTTAGTATTTTTAGAATAATTGCAATATATTTTGATTTAGTCAACTATTTTAACATTATTTCTTATTTAAAATATAAATTTCGAAGTTTGCTTATTCCTTATAAATGCCTTTTAAGTATTTTAGCAATATATTTAAGGCTTTTTAGTATTTTAAGCATTTTCAGTATTTTCAGTATTTTTTTTAGTATTTTTTAGTATTTGCAATGCATGTTGATTTAGTCAACTGTTCTAACATGTTCAATGAAAACTCTGATTGATTATAAAAGCCTATATATAAGCTCCACAGGTTAGAGTATATGAAATGCCAAACGTTTTGTTCTTTTGTGGCAAGTAAAGCGTAACACGCACACATACACATACACAAATAAAGATACTTATAATATATACACAGATATATATGCTTAACATTTTTCACGTTTTTCCGCTCGGATTTTTCCTCAAGCAGCGCTTAAATTATTCTTGAGCTTTGGCCAAACGTTCTGCTCAGCTTAACTTCAGCTATTGTTGTCGTTCCTCTGATTGATGTTTGTCAGCTGGTGCAACCTTAACAATTGCATGACAGCATTGCAAAATGAAAAATTCAAGTAAATTACACACATAATTATAGCTGTTGCTGTTGTTGTACTTTATTTTATTTTTTTACTGAGGCGACAAATGCGAGCCGCAATAATCGCAATTCAATTAAACATTTGCCATAAAAAATAGTTTGTCTAAACAAATGCAGAAAAATTGCCAACAATCGGTCACGTTTCGTCACCAACAACAATGGGCTCTCAGACTGCCAACAGTCAACTGCAAGTTGCAGCAGAGCCCGCATCGAGATGCGATCATAAAAATAGAAAATTGCATAGGTGCCATAAACGTCCTAAGCAAGCAAAACATCTAGAGGTGAGACTAAAGGGAAATACTATGAGAATCGGCTAGAAAAGCAAAGAAATTAATTGAGACACACTGTGCATTCAAGTTAGAGTTTGCTTAGTGAATTTTAATCGTATATCATAATATCACATTTTATTAATAATATATATTATAAATTGTATTTCATGAAGTCTTAACATATTCAATTCATCAATTGCCAAGAAACTTTCTGATTCCTGTATTCCTAGATTATTAATAATTATTTTGACATGAATAATGTCAATCATCATATATGAATTTATGTATTATTGATGAGCCTAATGACAATAAAATTAATTTTATTAAATTTATCCGTTATATTTATCCGTTAACATGCATAGTAAATTCTATAGTTTAGCAAGCTGTGATATATGCAATGAAAATTGATTTATATTTATATTTGCGTATTCATAATACTAGATTATAATTTGGTTATGCTCTAGGCTTTAATCAATTACATCAATTATATATCGATTAAGAATTTGAACTTATATTTGACTTGGATGCATCTCTGTCAAACGATATCACAGTCGAAGCCTGCACCACACCTAATAACACACACACACACACTCGTGGATAGAAAGATACTATGTTGCCCACATACTCATATGCAAATGCAATTTTAACACTTGGCAAATAATTTTCCACACAATTTACAATTAGTCGTAACATTTTCAACGCGTCTCATCATAAAGGCACCAGCATGGGCTAATGCTGGTTATATAAGCTGGCCAACAGCAGCTCGAGCTAGAGCTAGAGCTAGAGCTAGGCAATGCCAATACGAAAGATACAAATGCGAAGCCGTAATGATGCCTGACTGGCTGACGTTGTTGTGGACGGGCAGATTTTCAAGGTTAAATGCGACGGCGCACGTGAGCCGCAATGGAGCTTCAGGCAGCTGGTCGAATGAGTGCCTGACTGCCTGACTGCCTGCTAGCTAACTCAAACTAGTTTCAAATGGCATAAAGTATCTGTAAGATACAAATGCGCGCATGAGCATGGAGCAAGGAGTGCCGCTGCAATTAAGCGCAGATTTTTGCCGCTGCAACAGCTGTGAGGCTGCGGTGGCACTCGACTTGACTCGCTTTTCGCTTTTAGCGTTTCGAGTTCAAGGCTATTGGGTCAATTGCAAATTAGTGGCCTGCAGGTTGACGTTGAATGACATTATTTGAGCATGCCGCCAGCCGTATATCTATCTATCTACAAGCTGGCTGAGCCAGAGCTAGTTGGCCTGGCCTGGCCTGGCCGGGCCTGGCCCTAGGCGCAATTAGCTGCTTGAGACATTATCGTGTTTCGGTCAGTCGACTGACGCCGATTGTCCAGTGATTTGTATAAATTTAGCATTACAATCAATCATATGTTGCGATTCAATTGCTTTTTAAGTAAATAAACATTAGGAAATCATATGAAAATATTGCCACAGCTGGGACAACTAAACGGCAAATTTATGCGCATTTCAATTGATCGGCGCTGAAAGCCTTTGCTCAATTTGCATGAAACAGCACAAAAAATAAGAGATGTAGATAAGCAATATAGATGTCTATATAGTATATATATATATATAGGTATCGTACGACAAGTACTTACCGATACTTAGCATACATAAATGTTGATGCTGCTGTTGCTGCTGCAGCTGTCTTATCCTACAGTGAGGATAATAAATATTCGAATATTCTCTTTATTTTTGAGTTGACTACTACTTGTTGGGTTTTATGATCGGGCTTTATGATTGGCATACGGCGAGTGGAACTTGAGGCAATTAAAATTGCTTTTATGCGGCGCTAAAAGCCCAGGCACAGGCCCAGGCCGACCTTAGACACTTCCTTACATTGTCATCGCCGCCGGGGCCAATGACAGCGCGCGTCGCACAGTGGGACAGTTTGAACATTTTGCATGGCAAAAATGTTTTGCAAACTTAACTGGAATATGAAATTGTTAATTGCAATAAATATTATAATTATAATACGATTATAATGATATAAAAAATTTAATAATATAATATTAAATGTATATATTTAATATATATAATATAATAATGAAATTATAATAATATATATTTTAGGCAGAATATTTGTTAGCCATTCTTAATCAGATTTTATTTCATTTTTTGATATTCTGCATTGATATTCTGCATTATTTCTATCTATATAAATTCAAGAATATTCTGAGAATTTATAAGTCATATTTACTATTTATTCGCTTCAATTTCCGTTGGGAGTCTGACCCTCTCATAAATTCTCTAGCAGCTTCTATAGTCCATCTATAAATATTTTTAGTTTTTTAGCAAGCACTGGTCCCACTGTGCGTCGTCCACCTTTGTTTATTTAGTATCAACGTATTATTATTATGTTTATTGTTGCTGAGCTGATCTTAATGAGAATTGTATTTATTTACTATTTCTTTCTCTTTTTCTTTTCGACAGCGCCGCACATCTTTCAGTATCCGCCGCCGCCGAGCCCCTCCTGCTCGATGGCCCAGTCGCCCAGCTATACGGGCGGCGATATATTCTTTGCCCATGGCGTTTACGTGCCATCACCGCCGCAGCACCACCAACAGCACCACCAGCAGCACCACCAACAGCAACCGCCTCGCACACCGCACACCAACTTGAGCTTTGCGGGCGGGGAGGAGCTGAGCTTCTTCCGGCAGCCGTATCCGGCGCCGACAACGCCGCAGCCAATGCCACAGCAACCGCAGCCGACGCCGCAGTCGGCGCCGCCGGTGCACTATAGCCACAGCTATCCGCAGGTCTCGCACATGCTGCAGCACCATCCAGCCGCCTCCTACGGCCACCCGCTGCCGGCTGGCGCCTACTACGCCACCTATACGCCGCCACCCACGCCGAATACGGCGAATGCCTCCACGTCGACGGGCGCGGCTGGGGCAACGGCTGTGCCCTTCGGCCGCTACGGCGTCCATGGCCCAATCATGGCATCGACACCCTTGGCGCCAGGCGGACCCAAGATGCGTCTGCAGCGCAGCCAATCGGATGCGGCCAGACGGTGAGTAGAGCAAAGGCAAAATCAATTGCAGTAGGAGAGAGGAGAAGCAAGTGAATATATATTTATATTAATCCCGCTCCCTCTATCTCTCCCATTATCTACAGCAAACGGCTGACCTCAACGGGCGAGGATGAGCGCGAGTATCAGAGCGATCATGAGACCAGCTGGGACGAGTTTGACGATCGCTATGACAACTTTACGGCCGGACGCGAGCGTCTCCAGGAGTTCTGTGGACGCATACCGCCGCGCAAGAAGAAGACCAACTCGAGTTCGGGCAACAACAATGCGAATCCATGCAGCAGCAGCAGCAACAGCAACAACAGCAGCGGCAGCGCCAATGAGAGCAACTACAGCCAGCAGCCGGACAAGGAGAAGGTGAGTGCAGGAATCCCTATGCTAGGCATAGGCATAGGCATAGCCATAGTTCATTAACTTGAGCAGCAGATGCTGGCACGGCTCCAGATGACACGTGCTGGCATTATTCAAAAGCCCAAGTGGCCTAAAAATAGGCAGAGCCAATGACAAATTGCCAGAAGGAGGCGAGCAGAGCCAGTTCCAATTGGAGTTGCGGCTCGAGTCGAGTGCATATTTCAAATGTGGCATAGGAAAACTTTGCACATGCTAAGAGTGTGATAAAAATTAATTGCGCAGCGCTGCCGGCGTTGCGGTTGCTTCTGCTCTGGAGACAGCTGCGCCCCTCCGGCCCCGCCCAGCTAAGTGAGCTCCCCTCACGCCCAACACGGCGACTTTATGTTAATCGAAGCAAGTGTTGTTGCCCCCACCCCCCCTCGCGCTCCAGCGACTAGTTTAGTCAGTCAAAGAATCAGCCTTTGTCAGCTGTCAGGCTGCATACATAATATACATACACATATACATTATATTTTATATATATATATTTATAGACACATGTCTCTCTACGAGTACTTCATTGTGTTCAAGTTGGCGCACTTTTATATATTTTTTTTTTAATTATTTTTTGCCTGCGCAATTAAAAGAAATGCAACCTTCAAGAAATTGAAACGCATGACACAGAGACTCGAGGCAGAGACACAGTCATAGCTAGAGCTATAGCTGCCCACTTGATACCATTCCCCCTCCTGCTCTCCCTCTCTCTCACTTGCTCTCTGGCTCTCTCGTTTGTTGTTGTTGCGTGTAATTTATTTGCATTGCGCTTATCGTAACACTTTTGCGAACACACTTGGTGGGGAAGCTGTGCGAACTGCGGCGATTCGCCTTATCGGAAATGAGCTGTAATGAGATCGTGAGAATATTTATAATCTGAATTGAGCACAATACAGCAGTTAGTATCTATCGGCGTTTGCTTGGCTTGCATTGAGCATATGTATGTCAATATTTGTGCAAAGCTTTCCATACTCATTCGCGAAGTCAGAAGAGTATATTCGTTTTGTGCAGTCAGTCAGTGTCCGAGTTGAGTAGAGGGTTGAAATATATATAGTATATATAATCGGAGTGTGTGTTCTCTTATATGGAAAATATCTTAAGCTGCATAGAAATAGTCTAAATAAGTTAGTAATAGGCTTATTAGAAATATAGTCTTATATATTATATATTATACAATATTATATTATATAATATTTTATTATATAAAATTAATATTATTTTGCATATTATTCAAAGTTGTCTTAAAAATAAAATTCCTTCCTAATAATAATATAAAAATATATAAAAAATAAAATACATTCATAAAAAAAATAAATAAAAATATAAATAATCTATTATAAAAATATTCTACCAATAAAAAATATTTATATTAGAAATTAAATAAAAATATAATTAATGTATATTGATAATATTTTAGCAAAAAAAAAAGAAATCATCTTAAAAAACAATTAATAATAAATATAATAATATAATATAAAAAAATTATTAATAATAAAGATATCAAAAATATTACAACATAATAATATTTAAAAAATATGATATAATCATATTAAATAAATAATTAATACAAATTGAAATATTCTACAATAATATAATAAATTCATATTGGAAAATAAATAAATTAATGCAAATAGAAATACTCCACCATGAGCTGTCATTGCTCATTATGGTAATTGCATTACAAAGTGCATTAGCTATGCATATGAGCAGCACGGGCTTTAATATTTCTCTAATAGTATTGTTAATATTTTCAAATGAGAGTTACAAGTGCAGCAAAAGCCAACCAATTAGGCCTAAATGCCACATATTTAGATAGACAGACGAGTTGTCAAAAGAATGCAAACAGATGCGCCAAAGAGCGCCTTTTCAACTCATTTAACAAATGCACAAATTCTATTAAAATGCGCCCAAAAAGTAGAATCTCTCTAATTTGCATAATAAATATTGTGCAGTCATCATTTACACGTGCCACACACACACACACATGCACACTTGCACATGCCACAATGCCCATTGAAGCGTGAATGTACCACAAATAAGTGGCATAAATTATTATTATTATTATTGTATATCCATTGAATGCGATAAACGAAATTGTGAAATGATAGCCGCAGCGCCGAGTGCAATTGAATGGACTAAATAATTATGTTAGCTATTGACCAGCCATTGACCATGTCCATAAAGACACACACACACACATATATATATGTATGTATATGTGGGTCACTGACATGGGTTCCGGTCTCTTGGTTTTTGGTTTGATTTACGAATGGGCCGCAGCTTGGTCTGTTTGTGTGTGTGTGTGTGTGCGGTCAAACTAGCAGAGGGCACGTGACTTTGTTTTGTGGAGCAAAGCATATTTATATGACCCCAGAGGGCAATTGTTTAACTGACTTTTAGGGTATATAGATATATATATTACCTAACTATTATTTGATTATAAATATTATATTGTATATTTCTTAGCAATTATTTAATTATGCTCTTTCTATTGCTTCTCTCCATTTTAGGAGCAACAGAGCTTCACTTGGCCCACAGTTTTCACCGTCTTTGTGCTCGCCGTGGGCTGGGGCCTGTATGCAGCGCGATGAAGCAACAACAACAACAAGCATCTCTAATAATCTATATATCTATATATATATACTTAAAGCAACAACAGTTTAATCTATAGTGAAATCAGCGAACGCATAGCAAGCCCGCATACATAAATATATATACATACACACACAGACACACACACACATGCATATATACATATATAGAATGTGTATAAAGTTAAGGCGGTTGACGGGACGCAAGAACAATATATAAATGTATTTGTATAAACATATTCATATTCACATTTCTCTCTCAGATACTAACACTAATTCAAACTGCTCAATTGCAAATTGTAGACTGGCAAAAAAAAAAAAAAAAAGACTAAAAGAGTAAAACAAATCAAATGATATTCACAAATATTTTTGCTAAAATATTAAATGCATATTTTTCGATATAGAGAATCACAAATTGAAATTGAAGCTCGAGCATATTTTTGTAAACTTTTTACTATACAACAAATCAACTAGAAACTGCCATTTTTGAGATACTTTTTGAGATACATTTTATAGGCCGGTCTTCCAGCAATCGAATATCTTGCATTTAGCTTTGCATTTCGTAATATCTTACAAATATTTAATGGAAACAAAAAACAACAGTTAATGAAAATGAAAACAAAATCCTGCTTCCATTTATATTTTCAATATTTTAATTGTATATTTTTGTTTATTTTCAATTGTTTGTCAAACAACAAAGTTTTCAATGTCTTCGCTTTGTAATTTCAATTACAAGAAAAATTTATAAATATATTTAACAATATGAAAATATCTTTAATATTTGTAGCAATTGCTTTAAAGTAGTTAAAATTTTAATTGAACATAAAATAAAACAACGTATTTAGCTTTAATTGTTATCAAAAATCCGAGAGAAAAAAATCCCACAGAAAAACAAAAAAAAAAAAGAGAAAAAAAAATGTTTTTTGTATATAGTTGATATAATGCCATTTTTGTGATGATTTTTGTCTATGGTTTATTATACATACATACATACATACATACATGCATATGCAGATGTTTTTAGTTAAATTTGTTAGTCAGTAAGCTTTGATTTTTCAAGTGGATTACATTTTGTTCATTCTTCAAATTGGTCTCACAATCTAGTTTTAAGCACACATTGTTCAAGAAATTTGCGCAACAATTGAAATTTACCAAGAGCACAGGGAAAGGTTGGACGACACATTTTCAGGTTTATCTTTGGTTAACACACTCAAAGCCAAGCGTTGAATGATCTCTAAAAACTGGAAATTTATAGAACACTCAATTGATCTCCACAGCTAGCCAAAGTCAAAAGTCAAACACACATACACACACACACGCGCGCAGTAAATCAAATTTATATTTTTGTCCCCTTTCTGTATATTTTGGCAAATTTTAATTTCAGTTTTGCCCAAATTTCTGAACGTTTCAATGCTAATCGAACAGTGGAAAACAAAAATACCGAAATGAAAACAAAATAAAAATATATTAGAAAATGAACATATGAAAAAAGAAAAAGAAAAAAAACTATTCCCAAAAATCGCATTGATCTCATGGATTTTTTTTTATCATTTACATCAGCAATTTTTTACTTGCATTGAGAAAATATTATTGTAAAAGTCTAGGGTTAAGATCGCCAAGCGTTTTAGTTTACATATTTCTTAATACTAAGTTTTTATGTCTAAAGTTAAATGCAAAAACAAAAACACAAAAAAAAAAAAAAAAATCAAAAACTACAAAAATATGGGAAAAAAATTTACATCGAATCTAAGTAAATGTATTTGTTTATCATATGTTAAATGCTTGTAAGTAGCGCAATATTTTTTGTTAGCTTTAAGATCAAATCATTTCGCAAACAGCAAACGGAAAGAAAGAGACGTAAAGAGTTAGAGAGAGCGAGAGAGAGAAGATACACTAGTTAATGTAAAAGCAGCAAGCAGCAAAAGTAGAGAAAATTTTGTTTAATAATGTTTTTTTTTTCTTACGTATTTTTTTTTTTTTTTAATTATACATACTTACATTTAATTTGTATACAACTATTCCAAGCCCCCAACCCCAAAAACAAAACAAAACAACAAAAAACTCAATGAAAATTTTTGTAAATTTTTCTAAAATGAACTCAACGCAAATATTCTGTCACCGGCCGCAGCGAAGGAGCAATTCGCATTGCTCTTTGGCTTGGCAGTGGCAGAAGTTGGCGCCGATTCATTCTAATTAGTTTTCACATTGATCTCGGTAAAGTTTTGTGGCCGCGCGCCCAGAAGTCATCAAGATTTTTGGTTGCCATAAACTGAAGCAAGGCAGAAAGAACAAGCAAGAAACAAAATATATATCAAATGAATCACATAGCGACAAATTTTTTGTTTATTTTCTATTCCATGCGACGTACTTCCGACCTAAAATTAAGTAATTCGTAAATTCGTAACTCGTAATTCGTAATTTGTATATAGCGCAAAAATCGAAATGCCATTTTTTTGTATAGATCGTTGGTGCCAAAACAGTTGAATTGTGTGTTAAGCAGTGTAGGATGGAGCTGCCAGCACCGGGAGTTCGCATTGAGAGCTGCCGTCCTAGCACTCACGCATTCGATTCAAAACTCCCAATTATAAATAGAGTTAAGCTCCCCCTTACAATATTTTCAATATGTATTTTTCTGTGTGTGGGAACACAACATTTATACAACTTGTACATTTTATCTTATGCTGTAATTTAATATAAATAAAAAAAAAAAAAGAAAATATATAAATATATAAATTATCACTATGATCTCATGAATATGTTCATAAGACGAAAGTATATATGTAAATTAAATAAATACGCATAAATATATATAAATCTATATGTAAGAAGAATTATAAATGCGAATGCACAAAAGAAAATACATAAAACAACAAATAAAAATTTTTAAAAACAAAAAATAAAATCATTTTTTGTCTTCTATTTTCTATGCAGATGATGGAATTCTGGATGTAATTGTAAGAGAGGTGGCAGAGCTTCTTAAGCATATTTGTTTATATATTCTGAAAAAAGTATATGAATATAGTAGTATATATATGTCGTATCACTTGTGTTATCCGAGTGGGTTAGGAGTGAGAATTTATTATCACTAAGACAACTATAGCAATTACTGAACGTCGTCCCGATGTTGCTGGGTGAAATCGACAGAACAGTGTGCCATTCATATCGATTCAAAAGCAATTTTGTTCATGTTCATAACAAATTCTCTATTCAGGCATTCTACAAACACTCGCCATATCGAGCAAATCGAAAAACGAACACATTTAGTTTAGCAACATTTATAAAAATACTTTATTTTGTACACATATTTTTCACTAAAAATATTTTTATTTTTTTTTATTTTTTTGTCAAGAGAAAGGATTGTTAATCATGGATGAGTTGGTCGATCAGCTTTCCCCCAAGATATATGCACGAAATGTGGTAAGAGCCCTTGCCAAGCTGCAGAATGGGAAACATAGTTACGTGCCTGTCGATGATATCGTTGGTATGGTAGCCCAGCAGATGCGTCGCAAAAGGGACATGGATAACGTCAAGGAGCATGTGCTGAAGTCGTTGAACAGTATGTTTGATTTGGGCATATTGATTCGCAATAGCAGCTTCCATTACAATTTCTATAAATTCCCCGAGCTAACCTATGGATGTCTAAATTCGGTTAAAGTAAGACGACAGTAATTAATGTTTCTAATGCGGATTTTCTAAATATGGTACTGCTCTGAATACAGGGACGAAGGTACAAAGCGGGCGGCCGAAAGCCCTACATTAGACCTAAGAAACCGATTGCTGCGAGACCCAAGCGACAAACAATGGGTAAATATCAAAGGAAATGTAAGCCGGCGCCCATTGTGCCTGTAGTGTGCGATTGCTGTCGTTCGTCTGTGATGCCGTTCGTCAAGGTATTCAATGAAATCAAAAAGAACGCTTTCGATATGGTCAAAATGCAACAGATCAAAATAAGTGACTCAGAAATGGACGAATCGGTAGATCATCCAGCGAACATAGCACAACGCTTTGACTTCCAGCCCCCCACTATGATTGTAATGAACTATGAGAATCCACTAGAAGAGCAGACCACTCAGTAGAAGAGACCCAGCAGGTGGCGCCATCTACATGTCAATTTCTTAAATTTTTTCAGTTAAGCAGCTAAAAGTGAGCATTTATCTACGCGTTTAGGCCAACAATAAAGCCCCAAAGTATGCTCCATTTGCGGCTCGAGTTTCAGTTTTAGCCAAGCTGCACTTGCAAATTATTATTATTCACATAACGGAATCTGGATTCACGAACTCAGAAATTGATTCATAATTTCGTTTTCTTTGATTATTTCAACCCTCGCATATTCGTATTTTCGGGTGGTTGGCTGCCCACTTGAGCGTCGCACCGGGCCGCAGGCTAAGCCAATTTGTAGTTTTTGTGGTCGCGGATTAAGTGCTCATAATTGTGGCAGTGCAGCACGCGACTCGCCGTAACAGGATACGCGGCAGCGTGCCACATGAATATGATGTGTTATTAACGGCTTAAGCAGGCGATGATAATGACCGACGACGCGACGCCAGCTCTGGCCGAGAGCTCGGCTATTATTTTCTGCCCAATATATACGAGTATAAACACATCCGCTTCCGTCGTGCAGGCAGCTGTCAATCAAAGCGAGCCGGCATATTTAATTTGAATTGCGTTTTCATACGAATCACAAATCTGGGCACACGCCTTCACAGCAAACGGCCTAATTTGACATTTGAGCGTCAGCGCGTGTCGTTCGCAGTCCGTCAAATGGCCCTCGATGAATACCCACTAGTTTTCAATTAAATTTTAAGCTAAACTAATCAATACGCCGCCCCCACACTGATGTGCCCCCCTCCCCCTGCCGCCACGTAGCGTCTAGTTTATGATAATTACTTTTTGGTCCAACACCTGCCAGCAGCAACAGGCGAGATATGGGCCCTTCGATTGGGGGGCCTGACACTGTCAAACATTGGCAATTTTATTGTTCGCCCAAACCACGGCCTCACGACCACAAAGGCAGCGCCCGCCCCCATCGCGCCCGATTCTAATTATTAAAATTATAGAAACGGGCAACATTTGTGCGCAGCCATTTCCGTAAATTAAAGTTAATTAACTGCCTGCGGTTAGCGCAGCCAGAGAATAATGCTAAATTTAAGATCATAAACTAGCTGCTTTGAAATAAAAGAAGAGACAATTTAAATACATTTTATGTGGATATGTATTTCATAAAAAAGTTTTCGAAAAGTGTACACATTATATAGATGACTTTTTTTTAAATCTGGAAAATTACGAAGAATTTAGAATTTTTTTTTAAGCTGTTGAGGTGGCCGTTTAATTTTTGTACATCTATTGCAATGGGCGAGCAGCAATGAGTAGTAGAGTACATAGAATGTTAGTTAGCAGTACGCTGTTGACTCACTGTTAGTTAACTTAATTATGTTAATATTCTGTAAGAATCATTTTTATATACCATGATTCCCTATATTTAATGAGCTCAGGATGTAATATTTGCATTCAAAATATTTATAATATAATTTTCAAAAATTCTATAAAACAAATTAACTATTTTCGGAGCTTTAAAATATAGTGAGTAATGCTAATATTCCGAATTTTTATTTTCGAACTTTTTTTTACCGATTTATGTATAACTTTTGTTAGTTATATTAAATATATTGATATATGTATATGTACCTCATCAAGAAGGTTATTTTTCAATCTACAATTTAGCATTTAAGCTTTATTAATATTAATTTGTGTTATATGCTTTATAGGCCTTTGAAGTTTAAATTGAAAAATAAATAATTAAAAAATAATATTAATGTTACTAACTGGGTATAGAAACACATACAGTATTTCAGGACACATCGTGCCATTTAGGAAAACCATTATAAATATTTGATGAGAATTAATTAATTTGCTTTAATCTCTTTCCATCTCTCTCTCTCTCTCTCTCTCTCTCTCTCTGCAGATTCAAATAATCAAAATTATGTTTCAATTAAAAGTGGCTTGGCACAACTTGAAAGCCACTTAAAGTTAATTCAATTATAATTTAAGCATAATTATAGTCGCATGTGTTTCGGTTGTAAGAGAGTAGCAGTGTAATGCCAACTAATTGCCTTTCAGCATAAAAGTTGCAAGAAAAACTAAATAAATTTCATTACACGCTGGATAAAACCCCCCAGAACGCTCCTCAAAGACAACCCAAAATGCAGCGGGAGCAAAAATGCATTAAAAATTCATTACAAAGTGCACACAGAGTTCCTTCCTCTCTTTGGCAAATGTAAGAAACGTGTCTAGTCTCCGTGTGCAACTCATGCCACAAGTAGCTCGAGCTGCTTTAAGAGTGTAAAATTATTCCGACTTTAGTCGGGTGCGAAGCTGAAGTTTGTCTCTGTGAAGGCAAATGATTGCCAAGCTTGATAGCAAAGGGATATATTATCTCTGCTGCATGTCTGCTGAAGCCTAAAATGGTCTCAGCCTGCAGGTCATGAGCGAAACTCATAAGGCCATGGCCAATGGCTAAGGGAAGCAGCGATCATAATCAACGTCTTTTGCCACTTTATTGACAAACTAATAAAAACATGGCAAGATGGGAGAGCTGAAGTGAGCTGAAGGACTGACATCAGAGACCGGCAGGACTCGGACAAAACGATTTATTAAAATCCCTGTGCATGGCATACATAAAAAGCAGCGCCACTGACCGTTGATATGATGAGTAATTTGCTTTTGGCTTTTAATGCTGCAGACCATGAGCATGGAGAGGACATGGATAACGGCAAAGGCAACGGGATAACGACAACGATGTCGGAATAGTTGCAGGACACGGAAATTAGTGCGGAAACGGTTACTACGCTTAGCAATCTGTCAAAAAGCCAAAATGTAATAAATGAGACCGAGAACACACACACACTCGGATAGTTGAGGCTCCTGTATCATCGTCCTGGCCATCAACATAATTCATAGAACATGCCAGAGCAAGACAAAAGACTTCCATAAGAGCGGACAAAGGCGCCAAGGACTGACTACAGCGGATGCCATCCATAGAGCTGGGCCCATGACACATGTGCCATATTTCATTACACGTTGATAAGTGGACATTTGTCCACCCGATTCCTTGGGTTGCGGGGGTTGACAGCGCACAAATGCCAACAGGCATTTCATAATAATTTTAACAACCTTTTTTACGCAAACATGCAACGGTCACAGACCGAGCCTGATACTCATATTAAATGCGTTAGTCGGACCGTAAGCATTAACTCGTTTATGCTACGTATTCGTATTCATATTTGCATTCATTTTCATATTCATATTCAAATGAAATGCAGATGCTATCGGCATGAGTGGGGCGATTTCTGTGACTTGACGAGGCAAATTATAAGTTTGCATTTCATATTGAGAGTTAAGTTGGAATATATGAAGGGTTTTACTCTGTGAGTCTCTTCTGAATGCCTCGTCGTCGTTGAGCCCGAAATGGAATATATACTGAACTGCAAGTAGTTATACATTTTTCCTTCTTCAATTGAGAATCATCTATATTTTAACATATTGATTAGCATTTTAATAGATCATTAAAATTGGAAATATAAATATTAATATGAAAGACCTTTATTTAATACAAATAGCAAAAAATTATTTAAAAATTTATAGTTTTTTAAAATGGCAAAAATCTTTATTGGGGCTCATTTCACAAAAAACCTAGAAACTACTTTTTTACAATTGTTAATAGATAAACAGAGTAGTGCAAAGGTGAGTAAGATAATAATAAGTTATGATGAAATAAATAATTAAATAACAAATTAAGGAAATATAAATTTTAAAATGTAATGAATTTTATAAATAAGTTAGAGTTTTGACAAAAGCCTTTCCATGTGAGAAAATCAAATAATTCAGATTTAATTTGAAAAGCATATAAATTATAGTTATCAAATGTATTGACATGACACTAAAATTAAGTGTCAAACACATATTTAATTCTTGTTCACATAAATTCTTAATTATATTAGCATTTTACTAAACACGACAAAGTATTCCTATGTTAATCAAGTTCTCATTCTAATCATCATCATCGTAATCAACAAATTGCAGCTTTCTTTGCTTTAGGATTGGCCCGGTGTCCTTTCGTGTTGTTGCGTTTGCGTGCTGAGTCTGCTGAGTCCCACAGATGTTCTCTGTGCTGGGCCACTGGATGAGCTGAGTCTCGGGCACATTCGAGTGGTCTTCGGCTGTCGCTGCTCTTGGCTTGGGCGAGTATCTCAAGCGAAAGCGCTTTAGGTACTGCGGCACAGCCGGCACATTTCCCGTGGCATGAAAGTCCACAATTCCATTGATATAGACAGGACGCAGTAGGCTGCAGAGCTGTATGAGATTTATACGATTCGGTGTGGGAGACCATTGAAGATCTCGCAGTGGATATGGGATCTCCCACACATGGCTATTGGCAGCCTCAATTTTCACAGTTACCGCATGGCCGGGCTGCTCGAAGCACCTGCGGTCTGTGCCCAAGCAGCTGTAGCTGTGCAAATAGGAGTTCATCAGCTTGATGTGGCCGAAGAGTGTCAAGGTTTGAGCTAGACGCGTGACCAGATACTCGTAGCCAAACAGAGGCAGCTTGAGCACACACGTCCCGCCCACGGATGCCGCATACTCGGCGATCTTCCTGGCCACCTCGTCGAAGTCCACATGCTGGAACGGCTGATCGGCTGCCTGCAGATTCAGATAGAGCTCATCGGTGCCCTGGGCAATCCACTCCTGATAGGTGACATTGCCCATCAGCCGACAGAGATCGTCCTGCTGCAGTGCTGAGTAGTAGAAGAGCAGTCGGCCGCCCTGCGGCTTGCGGATGAGCAGCATCAGGCTGTTGCCCTGCTCGTTGCCGGCACAGAGCATCAGCTCCAGTCGCTTGCCATCGCTGAGGCGCAGCTGCAAGGGCTGCGCCTCCTTGACTATGTGGAAGTCCTGCTGGGACACCTTGGCACCACGACTGCTCAGGTAGCTGAGCAGCTGGTTGGCCAGCGGCTGGGTGGTGTACATCTTGCAGAACTGCTTGGGCAGCCGATCCAGCTTCCCCTGCATGTCATAGAGATGCGTGATGAAGACCTTGATGTGGCTCTCGTACAGCTTTGGTATGACATCCACAACTATTTCGGGATACTCCTTAAAGCGCATTTTTACTGAAAGTAGGGAATTAACTATTAAAGTGATTAAAGTAGTAAATTCATAGCTTCATCACAAATCTATATTTCATTTCAAGTTATAAGGTACATAAAATAATAAATAAATTAATAAATGCATGAATTAACTAATTTTTAAGACAAATAAATCGGAAAATAAAGTAAATGAATTAAAAATAATAAATATATTTAAAAATATTTATAACAATAATAATTTAATATATTAATAAACATTATATATATTTATGAATATACTAACAAAATATTTAAAAGTATAATTAAATTAAAAATGCAATAATTAAAAATCAATAAATGTATTCTCTTAAACATTAATGAAAAAATAATAATAATCAAATCAGTAAATGTATAAAAATAAAAAATTAATAAAAAGATGCACACATATACAAAAAAGTATAAAATAAATAATTAATAATAATAAAATAAAAGAAATAAATAAATTGAAAATATGAATAAAACATAAATAAATAAAAAATATATATAAATGTATTTTCATAAATCAATCAATAAACAAATATGAAAAATAATAGAAAAAAATTAATAAATAAATAATAAAACATAAATAAATAAATAAATTTACTTATTGTAATAAATAATTACGTAAAAATAAGTAAAATAAAATATAGATGTATATTAATGAGTATGTTCATAAATAAATAAACAATGTCATAATATCTCAGTTGACAGCCTCGCCCTGCTGTTGACCTTTTCTGATAGCTTAGTCCAAAGCGGATGCATTATGGATGGCCTATAATTGATCAACATGAACCCAAAAGCCACGACTTTGACTTTGCGTAATTTCCCCCGAGACGAAAATAAATGCGAAAAGTAAACAACAAAAAATCGCAGCAACGTCAGGTTGAATGCCAGGCATTGGCATAGATCTCAAATTGGCAACACCTCAGTTCGGTTCGGCTTAGCTCATAAAAGTCGTTACTGGCACAGCCCACAATCTGGAGATTTTGGTTTCGCTTTCAGTATGACCGTCAAAAGCGTACCTCGAGCTGGTTACCTCACCCAGCTGCCAGTCGATAAGTGAGACGTGTAAATTATTATTACGTTGGGGCAAAAGAAAGCAGCGTGGGGGGCTGCCCACGCTCTCTGGCTGAGGTCTCTGACTAGACCAGAAAATTACTCAATGTCGCTTAACCCGACTGCAGCTGAATGCCAACCTCTTGTTGTCTTCTTCTGTTGTGTTGTTGTTGTTGTCCGCTGAGTTGCCTGACTCAGCTGACTCTTTTCAGCTTCATCGCCCGGTTTTAACTTTCACTCTCTGAACAGCTAATTTGCTTAGCTTGTTGCCGTTGCCGCGAGCTCTTGGCTCATTATAATTAAGCCATCTGAGGCGCTGGCACCCAGATTTGCTGCGACCATTGTACAATAATTCGCTTGGCTATTTATGATGCTCTGTAGAAGAGTGTTACAAATGTAATGCAACTATCTGATTTAATTAGCGCCGTTATACCGCCAAGGCGCGTTCAACGAACTCTCAACTGTCAGATTACCCAACGAATGTCTTCATGGCAAACAAGTTTATCGATTTGATCGCCTTTAGAAAACATGCTCAATTGTTGCACAAATCATTTGATATACATTGTTTGTACTTTGAACTTTCATCAGCGATGACTAATGGCCCGAAATATGGATATATACGAAGTCAGGGTATTTTGTGGAAAATATTATAAAATATTGCTTTCTGTTTTTACAGAGTGTAAGATCTTTAATAATCTTTTATTATTTTAATAATTTGTGCCGAATAGAATATCAAATATATCTTATATAATTATATGATATAATTTCTCTATATGTGTCCATCAAAAGTCGTAGTATTTTCTAAAAATCAGGTCTACTTTGGTAAGTTGAGTTGATTTGACTTTGACTTAATTGCTATAATTTTTAATATGCTTTACTCAATATGATTAACATTAAGCAAGCGATATGATATATATACCTACATATGTATCCCTGTGCTCTATTTATTCACAGAGTTTAAGAGCTGAAAGAAATCTCTTATTTGACTCGAATTTCAAGTTACTTTACAAACATACTTTACTCATAATAAAATTAACTAAATATAACAAGCAGCAATCAATAATTTATATATAATTGCCTCCATAGATTATACTTAATATTTATTTTTAGCTTTAACGATCTGTTACTTTTTCTTCTCTGCCTATAAATACATGCCTACTCAGATTATTTTCTAATTTTATTCATTAGACCACGTGCTACTTCTTCAATCCTAACTAGTTAACCTTAAGTTGTTGGTATTTGCCTTATATATTGTGCATAATAAAAACAAAGTCAACTCAAATTTTATTCCGTCTGTCTTTCTAGTTGATCTCTGTGCTCATCTTAACTTTCGCACATCTATCCAATTTTATTATTACCCAATTGCTGCAATCTCTCTCATGCCCTCTCTCTCTCACTCTCATTCAGTTGCTCTCTGATGATCCGCTCTCTAGCTAGCAGCTGGTTGAACATAATTTCGGCAACGTTTTCACTCTTCGCCCGAGCATCTTTTGCGAGCTGGCAAAGCTCTCTCCTGCTCTTGCGCTTCTCTGCAGCGAGTCGACTTCACTTGGGGCTTGGCGCATGCTCAGCGCCGGCGTCGCGTGTCAAACGAACGCCAAGCTCAAAGCCGGAAAGACGTCGCTGGCGCTGTCTTCTTACCTAGAGGCAGTTCAAAAACAAAGCAACATTTCGTTTCGTTTCGAATTTGTTATCGTAGTTGCTTGTAGTTTCTATTTGATGTGAAGTAAGTGGAATCAAAAGCCGAAAGTGTGCAAAATCAAAGCCGGCTAAGCAATTGTCTCTGTTTACATATATATATACATATATATATGTGTGTGTGTGCTTGTGTTTGTGCTGCAATTGCGAGTTAAACAAAGCGTAGCGATTGTGACAACAACAGCTGCCTCTTCGACTATTTTTAAGTTCAACCAGCCAAGAAAAGAAAGTTGTCTGGGTCGTTGAGTTGTGCAAGTGAATGAAACATTAAATATTGCGTAAAAATTAGTGAAGAGCCAAAAAGCAACAACAACAACAACTACAGCAAAAATCTACGTAAACAAATAAGTGACTCATGCTCCTCTGGGAGAGCCTCAACCGAAATCGAACCTCAGCACCCGCCGAGCATAAAAGACAACGGTGCGTTTGCAGTACTAGTAAATTGAACAGGCCACGCCCACACACGGGCCACACAGGCTCTGTGGCATGCAGAACACGTACGCTGCTTTTTGGTTTCCGTGTCCATATCCGTGTTCGTCTTTGGTCCGAAATTCCAAGCTCATCTCAAGCGTAAAGTGTCCTTTCGTGTTAGGTGACAACCCTATCATGTGCGTGCCTCAACACACTCACACACACACACACATACACAATCGAAGCATTTTGTGCTCAAAGCATTTTGTGATCCTAGCACCTGGTGCAGCTGCTGCTCTACGCCCGTTCCATATGAAATTAGTTGACATTTCTTGTTGTAAATGCCATTGCAGTCTGTTTTGCTGCTGCTCCTGCTACTCCTGCTGCTCCTGCTGCTGCTGCTGCAGCAGCTCGTCTTCGTTTTAGTGCAGCGCCCTCTGTTGCCTGTTGGCAGCAAATGCAATTTTCTAGTACTTGCTCGTTGCGGCGTCTCCGCCGTTGCTTGGACCATAAAATTTTGGGCAATTACAGTTACAGCTGGAGCTGCAGCAAGCTGATGTTTCAACTGACTCAGACTGTCAGTCAGGCAGTCAGTGAATGTGCATGTCTGTGTGTGTGTAATTGCATGAAATTTAAATTTTATGTGCGAGCAACACATTTTGGCATAGTCGTTTTTATATATATTACGACTAGCGTAAATAATAAATGTTTTTTTTTCGGTCTGCCAGCTGTTTCATCTGTTTGTTCCACCACAAACGCTTTAAAATCAGTTACAAATCTTTTGGGAAATTTTTCGTGCGTCATCTCGGTGAGAAAAACGGGCTTGAACTACTCCAAGCAAGCCAACCTTGACTCCAATTCAAATGCAAATCGAACGACGCTAAATGAGCTACGTTTATGGTGAAATTTATCGCAGAAAGACAAAACAAAAATGTGTTAAAAAACTCAATGAATGAACCGAGCGTTGAAAAGTTAAAGCTACCAAAATTGATCAATAACAGAATTTAAATGCATTGATATTCTGGCAATTCAAAAATGGCTTTCACTGAATTTTAGATTATTCACTACAAATGACAAAAATTTAGTGAAATTTTGATGACGCAATTATAAGGTCGGAAGAGTGCTTTAATTATGCCTTAGTTTGTGTGCCTTAATTTGATTATCTTTGACTTAAATTGTATATTTTATAAAGATATATACATATATATGATGAATTATTAATATGACAATATGAATAACAAAAATTAAATATATAAGGAAGAAAATTAAATATAAAATATAAAATAAAAGTATAGCAATATAAAAGAGTTCAGCATTCATAGAAGTGAAATGTAAATTAAAAAATAATAATAATAATAATTTTACAAAAATATCAAAAACTGCAAATGTAAGAAAATATAACATATTAATAAAAACTTATAATAAAATGAAAAATAAAATAAATAAACATCAATGTATAACAAATTATCAATATATTTATTGATAATTATCTCTAAATAAAAAAAGGAAAATTTAAATTTAATAATAATTTATATATAATAAAAAAAAAAATAATATAGAAAATAAAAAAATATATAATAGCTAATTTAAATATAAAATATATAACAAATGAAAACTAGTTACTAAATAAATATAAAACATATAAGAGAGGAAAAACAACATATTAAAAGCTGATAAAATAAATAACTACGAATATATAAATTAAAAAAAAAAATCATAAAATATTTATAACAGAAAAACTAAAAATATATAAACCTAAACAAAACTTCAAGCAAAAAAAAAGTGGCCTGCAAAGCATTTAAAAAAGCATTCGCTATCTTGACATTGTTCTGTGCTTCTATAATCACAATTCTGCCTCCACTGTCTTCGCTGCACAGAGCTGGGCAAATAAAAGTCCAGAGCAGACAGACAGACAGACGTGCTAGACAGTGCCTATTAAACTTTGAAGGCCTGTCAACGCTTGGTGGCAACAAATGGAGGCAAATAAAAAGTCACAATAATATGAATAATTTAGCACAAGGCTCAGAGCCGGAGGCGAGCTCAGAGACAGCGTCGAGCACCCAAAAGAGCTAAAGATTATGGATATGATTATACGGCGTAGTCAGCGTCGAAATAAACCTGATGATTACGGCGAGTCGAGTCGCGTTGAGTCGCGTTTGCGGCGTGCGGCTGCATAAACACGGCGCAATCATAAAAAACGGAATTAAACAAATGTCAAGTCGTCCTCGACGACTACGTCGTCGTCGTCGTCGTTCTTGAGCTCTCGACGAGCACGTGAGAATTGCATTAATATGAATGCAAATGCAGCCGCCCGCCATCTCTTCGCCCTTTTTATTTTCAATGGGGTAAATCTATAAATTTATGTGCAAATGTTGCGAGAAATTTGCCGCGAGGACTCTAGAGAAATTCGCAATCTTTTCCAGTTTGTCGTCAGAGAGAGAAAGAGAGGGCGGGAGTGGGAGTAAGAGAGAGAGAGAAGTCAAGTCTGACAGCAAGTTTTTATGTTATTATTGCAGGCGACGTGCGAAAAGTGGCTTACGCTTATGAATCGCTGACGTTATAGCTGGGGATTTCCAATTGCAAGAGACACTCACACACAGTCACGCCCCCCTCCCCACACCTAGACGCCCACCCACGAGCAGCATGCAGTTTGAGTTTCGGCAACAGCCGCGAAGTATGCTATGGAAAATTGCATTTCTAATTATCGCATTAGCCGGGGACGTGTCGTGCATAAGAAATGGCGCCGGAAATGACGAGTGAGTTGCCATTGATGTCAAGCTTAATTTATGCAAATTTCACCTCAACTAACGCCCCCCATTTCCCGCCCATGCATTTCCTGACAGGCAGAAACACATTTCCGCAAAGCTGAAAAACTTTTTCCCCTCGGAACCGGTGCCTGAGCTGGGCGCTCCCCAAGCTGAGCAGCTGTCCGCCCAGACGTCCGCGCGGGTCACAAACGGCGGATTCCGGCCGTCACAGATGCTGGAATTCACGCCGTCGGATGTGATGGACACCACCAAGCCACGCTATCCGCCCAGCTACCTGGAGCCCAACTACAAGCATCAGCTGCCCAGCTCCTTAAACAGCCTCAGCTCACAGCACTCGGCCATGGACAAAGTGTTTGCCTTCCCAGAGGACTCGCGGCCGCAGCAGCTGAGCTCGCAGATACCCACCACGCCGGTGGTCAGCTATCTGGATCCCTTTACGCAGCAAAACTATCGATATACGCCCACGCCCACGGCCACGCCCTCGCACTCGCACACGCTCATTGCGACAGCTCCGACGCCCAGCTACATACAGTACCAGCGCGAACGGCCCGGGGAGCAGGGGGATCAGGCGTATACGGTGCAATCGTCTCTGCTCGTTGGCAACCATTCGCCGCGTCCTGCTGTCGCGGATGAGGTCTATTTGAAGCGACCCGGCTACGTCTTCGACGAGAGCCCCTCGACGCTGTATCGCCGACCCGTGACCACGCCCACTGCAGCCTCATCGAATAAAATTTCATACGATTCGCACGACTATCCGCCGCCCAGCTATGCCGCCCAGCAGACATCCAATTTCGTGCCCACCCCAACGCAGCGACCCCGCGAGGACCCGCGACCGTCTTACAACCGCCAAGACCTCAGCGGTCCATCGTCGTCTAATTATGCAAACAACTTTGGTAATTATTTGCAGCGACCACCCAGCTCCAGCTACCGGCCCCAGCACTCGGAATACAACACCCCCACGCACTACCAGTACGAGCCGCTGCCTCAGCACCAGCATCAGCAGCAACCTCAGCGACCGGGCCACAATTACTACGAGTATCAAATTGGCGAGATACCGCCTCAGCAGCGACCGCCCCAGTACAACTATCGTCCAGGTCCGGCGCCTGGCTATCGACCACCCTACCAGCCACAGCCACAGCCACAGGCAGGCGGCTTCTCCACTTTGGCAACATTGCTGAGCACCACACAACAATATGCGCCACAATTTACAAATCTGCTATTGGGCGGTGGAGGTGGCTCCTCCACGTCCTCCTTCTCTGGTAGCAGCCCATTAGGCAGTCTCTTTGGCGCCTTCGCAGGCACACAGAGTGCGGGCCAGCAGAGCAGTCGACCGCCCAACACACAACTCATTAGAGCCCTGGAGAACATCGCACGCAACGACGATTTGCAGTGTGTGCCCAAGGTGCTCTGCCAGATGATTGCCGGCCAGACGCAGCGTGGCCAGCTGCCGGGCTTCATTACGTCCCCGGCCATAACCAAGTGAGTACCGAGTAGCCGTAGCACCCACAATTGCCAGTCTAAATAATGTGGCCAGGGCTTTACTTGTAAGTAAATATTATTAAATTTACATTCCCCAAACTGAACCAAAACCCGCTACCCCCAGACTCTACCCGCTACCCCCAAGCCTCTACCCGCTACCCCCAGCCCTGTTGCTTGCCTAATTTCAAGCAAGCGTTAACTGGGATTAGACTTCATTCATTATGCAAGTCGATCCGAGCCGTAGCCATATTGATTGTTCTGCGAAATGAGCCACGCTCTGATTGAGCCTTGGCCAGCAGTGAGGGGGCAGCTTGTCCGTAAATTGATACGGTCTTGCCTATACGTTGCAAATTGGCATTTACTCAATTAAGTCTTATAGGCAGCTGGTCTGCATAATGAGCAATATAATAGTGATTGAGCTTGCAGTGAAGCTAGGAAATAGATATATAAATAATTATATGCATGATGTCTGCTTGCAAGGAAATTCTCAGGTTTTGATAATTATTTCGATTGCTTTCCATCTAAACAGCTTTCTCGCCGGCTTCCCAGTGGCCTCACCCGCGCTCATTTACGGACGCGCTGCGCTGCTGGGCATTAGCGGCGGTGCGCGGAGCTGTGTGCAGACCTACGAGAGATGCCCTAAGAATGAGGTAAGCTGTTTGTCTGGGGGTGTTTAATGATTATTAAAAACTTCAACTTGAACTTCGTCCGCGGCTACCCCCGAATAGATGGAAATCATTCACTATCTGAACAATCATCGCGGCGGCTTTTTTAAGTTCTTCAGCGAGCCGGAAGAGCAACCAGCTGTGCCCCAACAAAGCGAATCTAGCGGCGGCGGCGGCGGAGGCGGCGGCTCATTGTTCAGCATCCTCTCGGCGCTTACCAACGGCGGTCAGGTGACGCACACCACGCCGCGGCCAGTGGCGCGACCCACACAAAGACCGAACACGGACATTGCTGATGGCATCGGCAGCTTCTTCACCCGCGTGCTGTCCGAGTACATGAGCGGCGTGGAGTATCAGAGGCGACGCCGTCGCAGGAGGAGGAGTCTGTTGCCAACGGAAATTAAACGCAGCATTCAGACGGATAATGGCCGCTTGATGCCCGTTGATTTTCATGATGAGGAAGACGACTTAGATACCCAGACACCAGTCCGGTTTCAAGACGATGACGAGGCGGAGGCGGCCAAGGCGCACACCGAGCTGATAGGTGTGCTGCAATTTCCCGACGACCAGGACGAGGATTGGGGCGAGAGTCGAAGACTGCACTTCAAGAACATTGAAAGCGATGAGCATCACGACAGCGGAGCTGTGAGATTTCCGGATGCAACGCCGGAAGCACAGAGCGACAGCCAGCGTAAAGTTATCTACGAATTCAATCGGAATGCAGCTCAGCGAAAGCTGAGATTTCCCCAAGAGCCGAGCGAAGGTGAGCGCCAGGCCAAAACTTTGCAACTGGCCGAGGGCTGGGAGGCGGTGCTGCCCAATGGCCTTACCGAGGAGGATTACGGCAAGCCGAAGAGGCGTGGCAAGCGAATTGTTTTTAGGGACAACAACGAGCAGCTCGACGACCTGGACGAGCGATTTCGAGAGGAGCAGCAGGAGGCGGAGGAACGATTGAGGGAACAGCAGCTCAGAGAAGAACAATTCAGGGAGCAGCAGGTGAGGGAGGACCGACAGATTGCACCACATGTGCCACATGCACCACTAAATGCTGTCTACGAGAGCGCAGCACCACCTCAGCGTGGAGCCCGAGTCCTCTTTCCCGACCATTACGAGCAGCACATACGCCGCGGCAAGATACTGAATCGACCCACCTACGCGCCCAGCTACGAGTACAATAACAAGCTGGAGGAGAAGGAGCAGCGCTTGGTCGTCAGCGATGAGCATCGGCCCGGCTCCCACTATCGCCTAGAAAGCACTTCCAATTACCAGACGAGTGACCAGAGTCACAGTCACAGGCAGAGCTTCATGAACTACGGCGAGTATCTGCCCGGCAATACTGTCCGATTCGATCAGGCGAGCGATAGACCCAGCTACAGTGCGCACTACGACTATCCGAATGCGAACTACATCGGCGACAATCGGTACAGCAGCAGCTACCAGCCTGCCTCGACGAGAAGGCCCCAGCACGAGGACAATAAGAATATCTACGTGACCAATTCGCAGGGGGTGACCGAGTACTACATAAGGCCCGACGGCCGTAAGGTCTATCTGGGCAGCCGTTAGCCTTGTAGAGTGTAAATAGCAGCAGAGCAGCAGAGCAGCAGAGGCAGAGCTCCTTTAGTTTCTAAGTCTGTAAATAATTGTTAACGCTTAAACCAACTTGAATATTTATTAAACACTTTTTAAGCCACACGTAGAGACGGGTTCTTTAATGCGCCGCCATTGTTCAGGGCGAAAAAAACACAACAACAAATCAACAAGTATTTCAGGCAAATGAAATATGCAAAAGAAATGGCACATAAATCTAGAGACAAACGGCGCGCGTCATCGCAGGGAATACGTTTGAAAAATTAAATGTGATAAAGCGGAGGGAGAACGCCAGAAGAAGAAAAAAAAAAAAAAAACAAGAAATCCGCACACAATTTCCACATTTTCCCAATGGGACGCCGCCTCGCCTCACGACTTCACAGAGCCAAATCACACAAAAATGCAAAGTGCAAAAAGTGCAGCGTACTTTTGTGCGGTGGCACACAGCAGCCAGCAGACACAAGCCAGCAGCCAGGGTTGTCACCAAAGCTCAAAGCAGCGCCCACTGTGAGGGCCGGGCTGCCCCACCAGCACAGTGCCTGCAAGCATATGCAACGAGTTAATAAATAGCAAAGCGCCGAGGGCGGACCAGAGCCTGGCCTAGGGTTGGGGCTGTGTATTTTACCAAAAGCCGTAGTTGTAGTACTTGAAGCGAAACAAACAAGAGATGCACAAAAAATCGTAGATTTACAGCAAAGTAAGATGCCGATTGCATGATACTCTGTAAATACTATTGAAGATTGTGAGATATGTGTGAGTAATTATGATTTGATAATAAATAAATAAAGAGTTTCTAAAATAAACAATAAAGCTTCACTTATTGGAATTTTAATTTAATAATATATTTTGCATATGTATGAATTTCGATTCATCAGCTTGTTTTCAATTCTGTTCTTTAAGTGCAATAATTCATTATTTATCATTCAACATTCGTTCAGTCATAATTCATAATGAAATATTATATTATATTATAGTATTTATTATTATAATTTGAAATTTTTTAATTCAATATTCATTATTTACTATTATTATCGATTATTTACTGTATTATTCATTATTCAATATTTATTTTTCATTATTTATTAAAGGTTATGAATTATAATTTTTTCACTATTCAATAATTCATAATTTATAATTCGTAATTCATAATTCATAATTCATTATTCATTATTCATAATTTTTAGTTCAATTTTCATTCAGTATTCATATTTTTTGTAACACATTTTATATATGTATCATCATAGCCTCTCACATGCCACTTACCACATGCCTAGGGTATGTGCAACGAGTCTGCAGCTTAATGCCTTGCGTCAACAATTTGTGCGCGGCGCTGCAAAGCATGCAACTGTTTTTTTCCGTTGCACGCTTTTCGGCGTATCAATTTTTGTTTGCAACCAGACAAATGGCTGGCGGGGTGGAGGGGGGAAGGGGCGGATGGTTCGAGTGTAAAATGCATTGTCCGAACAAATGAAACTTCGAACTGGCCAGAGAGGGCTGAGTGAGTCGAGTGTGACGAGTGAGCCGAGTGGGGGCAGTCCGTCCAGCTGGATGTGTGCTCTTAAAAGTGCAGGCATGCCCCGGCATAGGCAAACACAGAGAGTTTTAATAATTTTTTAGATTTTGTTCTTGTTGATTTATTTGCTTATTCTTCATACTTATGCAAGTCTAAGCCTATGCTGGGTCTGTCGCTTAAATGAGAACCCCCTAAAAACAACTAGCAGTACGAATTCATGAAGAATGACTAAAGAGAGAAATGAAAGTTAAAGTCGGAGTTGGAGTCGGAGTTGGAGTTGGAGTTTGGAAAGAATGTAACAAAGATGTCCATGCGATTGACTGACTACACGATGCAAATGATGCAGATGCTGCAGAGCCCCGGCAACTGCGTTGTCTACCATATACTATATACAATATACAATATACTCTATATAAAAAAAGAATAAAATAATTGCCCGCCCGTACTGCAGCTGGTCCTTAGCGCGGCTGGGGCGGCGGCAGTGGACCGGCCCCTGGACAGGGCATCCGCTTGGCCAGGTGCTTGCATAGCGGCACATCTCGCACAGCATCGCCGATAAAGACCGAGAGCAGATACCATTGTTTCAAGCCGCCGGTTGATTGCACTTTGTAGTTCCTGAGTGGTTGAGCGTTTGAGTACGGCGCATCCAAAGAGATGTTGTTCAGTCAGCCAGCCAGTCATCATCATCATCAGCAGCAGCAGCAGCAGGAGGAGGAGCAGGAGCAGGCACAATAGTCGGCAACGAAAGCGGATTACAAAAATAATTACTTATAAGTAGCGGGTAATATACACAACTCTGCCAGCCCTTTTACTTCTTCTTCTTCTTCTTCGGCATCTGCCTCTTCTGGACTGGGGCCTTATTAAAAACAAAAGTAATTTGCGAGCTGCCACTGGGCTGGGCTGGGCAGGCACAAGGTATTAGGGTGCCTTAAAGCAGACTGGGCATGGACTCAGTGACATGTTAAAGATGAGCGCGATGCATTTGTTAGTGAGTCAAGCAGAAGTTAATATATGTATGTGTATGTATGTATATGAAAATGAAAATATATTTTACATATAACACAATATAATTTTCATATTTAAATATTAAATGGATGGTTAAACGCATAAAAAATATCTAAATAATATTGCATTGGTTAGCTAGTTAAGAATGAGCTAATATATGTATATTAAAATTAAAAAACTTATTTTAATATTGGAAATTAGAGTCAATATAATATAATTTAATATATAAATGTGTATTAAAATTAAAATACTTTTTTTAATATTTTAAATTAGAGTTAATATAAAACTGAAACTATTTGAAAATTAAGCAAATAATTAATTTAAAATATATATATTATTAATTATATAAATAAAATATTTGTTATACATTCTACATTTATTTATATATTTTTTGTATATATATATTATATTTATTTATATTGTTTATATTTATATTATATACTTTAAAAATATGTTATTAATATTTTTAAAATATGATAAATTAAAGATTAGCCTGAAAGATATTAATTGCCAATGTTGGTCTTTATTTCTGGCTGTTAAAAGAGCCCTCTGATATATCATCAGATGAACTTGATGCATTTTTAGTAAGTCAAGGATGAATTAATATATATGTTTATCGAAATGAAAATCTGATTTATATACTTCATATATTTTATACATATTTATACATTTCATTTATATTTTATACATATATTTTATGAAAAATGGTAGTTAATATAATCTAAGATCCCTCAACTTGTGATTTATTTCTTGCATTTAACACACTCTTTCATCTCCCGTCTCTCTCTTTTGTCGTCGATTACCTGGCTGGCACAGCATCAGGCCCCTGTTTACACACACTCGCCTCGCATTTCACACGTCTGCAGTGGGATAATTTAATCAACTCGCTAACAAACACATCTGCAGTGCGCGCTGGTTGAGCCCAGAGTCGAAGCCATACGAAAAGGTGCATCGACAAGCACAACTGACCAGCAGCAGAGCTCTGGCTGGCTGTGGCAGGGCTGCGCAGTGTGCGCTTGCATAAATTTAATCAAAAACTTTAATCATATTTTATTATTACAAAACACGTCGTGGGCAAACGTACAAAACTTCTAATGCCAATTACATTTGCAGCGCAAACAACGCACAAAACGGGGCGACGAGGGGGCGACCAGGGGGCGAGGCAGTCAGCAGACGGACGAATCGACAAAGAGACGGCTGGAGAGACGACGTAGGGCACATTTCAAAAATAATTTGGAATATTTGCTCTTGACACGTTGGGGGCCAGGCACTTGGCCATGGCCAGAGACCTGAGAGAAGGGGACGGGGGGCGAGTGTAAAAGAAACTTTCGAGTGTTGAAAATTTTGCATGTTGAGTGTGAAAGTGTCAGATGCATGTGTTTTGTTGGGGCAGAGGCAAGTGCGATATGACACAATATTAAATGAAATTTACAACAATGGCCAAAACTATGAATGCCAAATGTTGCGCATACGACACGTATGCCATAGATTTCCATGCAAAGAGCTTTTGTTTAAGTCTGAGACTGGCTTTTGTTTGGCCAAAAAATAAACAAGAATTAAATATTTAAACGAGTTGGCCATCAGAACAGAAGAAAACAGAAAGCATATCGAAATATCTGTGGGCAGCCAAGACTTAAGGAGTGCTTTTATTACGCAGAAGGAAAGAGATAGCAAGAGCGAAATTAAGTATGAATCACTGCTGCGCAAGGAAATGCAGAAATGGCCAACAGTGCGGAAAAGAATAATTTCCTCAACTCGGAAGAGTCGTGCATGGCATTACCATGACAATAGCGAGAGCGACGGGGCAACTAACTCATCGGGCGAAAAGAATTTATGTAAACTTACAAATTGAAATCCAAAGGCAATGGGAATACCAATGACAATGACAATGCCAATGGCAATGGCAACGGCAATGGCAACGGCCATGGCAATGCAATGACATGCACATTTAAACTTTGGGAGCAAGCAGTACGTGAATCTCTAACTGCAGAGGCGAGGGGAGAGCGAGGGAAGACATTAAATTATGCGCAGATGAGTTAGCATTGTCAATGGCGAGCGGGGGGCAGGGGAAGGGCAATCGGAACGGATACAAAACAGCAAAGAAATAATAAAAATTGATTGGAAAATATTCGCAGCTAAAAACAAGCCATTCATTTGCCAAATGACAACAACAGCAGCGCCAAATTGCAACCTAGCAATAACGAATGCAATCCGAGATGTTCATTTGGAGGAGCAGAGCAGCGCAGAGCGACGGGAATGCCAAATGAGCAATCGAGTGAACAAGAGATAGAGGGACAGAAAGAGAGAGAGGGGGCTGAATGAGAGCGAGAGGGGTGCAACAGTTCAAGTTGTTACCGTCTGTCTGTCAGCTGGGCAGCCATAAAGTCAGCGTTGCACTTGAACAAGAAATTACTAAGAAGAGAAAATTATCTAAACTATGAGCAGAACGAAAATATGATGCTCTATACAGAAGATCTAGAATATAAGATTTGCAAACAGAAATGTGAATGAGAAAGTAAATGTAGACAGTGAGGAGGATAATAATGAGAGAGGATATACTTTCAAATATTAAAGAGTGTGCCGTTTCATTTGATGTTCTTAGAAAAATCATATAAAACAATAAAAGGTGAATTTGGAAGGACTTACTAGAAATAAAATACTAAAAAATACAGTTCTTTACTGCTTGAATTATCAATCCTCATGAAATTTTATAATTCTCTATTTCTCCATTTATTAAAATCGATAGCTGTTCAGATGAGACAAGCATATTAAAATTCTTGAAACATTTAATTCATTTTTTATGTAACCCAATTTTTTCTAGTCACATCCTAGTTTTCAATCTTTAGAAAAGAGAAACCCTTTTATATTGGATGGTATTGCATATTAGCTATATAAATAAACATTTATCTGGTAAACATCCATTTAGTAATTTTTGATCTAAGTAGTATTATTTTTATCCTGTTGGAATTTTTTTCTGGCTTGATTTCTATTAGCCTTCTCATGCTCAGAAGTCAAGACTAAAATATTCCCTTGACAAGATTCAATTTGACCCACAACTATTGACTATAGAGCAGAGACGCCACTAGAGTCTTATGATATCTTAAAATCATTTACAAACACCATTTGCCCAACACTTAGCATACCCTAGAGCACTCAGTTAGTTGTTTATATCCGATAGCTGAAACTTTGACCTACCTCAAGACCTCAGACCAGGGTGCATGTGGCGCTGCGTTGCCCGCAAAGCCAGAACGTCGTTGGCTGGCTGAACGTGCGGCATGCATGCGGCACGGCTCCTCGAGTATGCAAGCCTGTGGCCCGAACTCGCGCAGAATTTCCTTCTTGGCCAACTCGGCGTCGAGGGCGTGCGGCTGGCCGGCGTCTCGTCTGCTGCGCGAACGGTACGTATCTGCAAGAGTGGCAAAAGGGAGAAGTTTTATGTGAGTAGCAGTTGGCAGTTGGCAGTTGGCAGTTGGCTGTCGCTGGCTGCTTGCTTATAAAATGCGAAATTAGTCAAAGTGACAGCAGATGAGAATGCCAAAAACTTGGCTGCTGCTGCGGTTGATTGCACAAGCTGCGAGTGCAGCAGACAGAGCTCAGCTTGTCTTTGGTATTTCCCTTGTTAGCATTCATGATGGCTTGTCATCAACCACTTGACTCTGGTTTTACCCGACAACGAAATAATAAATAAAACATTGCCAGCAATTCAACTAACGAATAAGCGCGCACGGCTGATTGTCAAACATTCCGGCCCACAACTTGGCTCCGTCTCCCTCTCTCTCTCTCTCCCTCTATCTCTCCATCAGCCACAGCCTTGACCCCATTTGGCTACAGCTAAGTGGACGTGCACGATATCTCCGCAGCACCAGCACCAGCCTCAAGCAATGCCGCCATTTGAGCCACTCGACCGCCAGTTTTGTCACACATTCGAGTCTGGTTTTTAGGCGAGGTAAACGCACTAGCTCATGAGAGTTTGGTATTTGTCAACAAATGTTGTAAGAGACTCTCTGCAGGTTTTGGTAGTTTATGATTTGATATAGGTCTAGCGGCTCCTGAGAATTAGGGAGACCATCTTTTGCATCAGCTCAGTATTTGGCAGAGCCCATGGTTCAGACCTTATTGGGAGGGAATACGATGGAGATTAAGCGACTTGAGGAACGTATGTAAAGTCAAGATCTGTTACTAAAACTCGTGTATTCTCTGTAAACTTGTAAGCAGATATTCTGTTTTTCATGAAAATTGTAGATATTGTTGAATTTTTATATATTTTTAAGAGGTTTCTTCAAAGATGAGACTGACTTTTAATTTTATTTAGGAAATGAATGATTTAATATAAAAGTATATAGAGTTGCTCAAAAGAATGTATTATTTAAAAATTTGCAAGTATATAAAAAATTTTGAAAGAGAAAGAAGTAGAAAATATATAAATTAAATTTAAAATAAACTTTTTCAAACGAATTTCTGTTATTTTGCATTAAAACAAATATTATAGATATAAATATAAATTATAAATAAAAATATTATAAATTTTTCTTGTTACTTTTTACACATTTTTCTACTTGATCCATTCTTTCACACGAATCGCTTAGGATTTTAAAAATGTTCTGTATCCTATATCTCATCAGAGATTATATAGAAATTAAAGATCTTCAAGTCGATCCCGTAGTTTTAAAGCCTATTCATACACAAACAAGCAATCAAATCTTTTCACTTCAAATATTAGTATAGAAATGCCATAATAATTATGGCATAGTAAATGCGTACAATTATGATATACAGATTGAATTATTTAATCATCTATCTGTATTATATCATTCCAAGGCTGTTCTGCCCTTTCCAAGGCAGGCTTAAAGCTCGCTCCACCCATACAATATACGATAAATACAAAATATTTCTTTTCATGTCCACAGTTCAATTTGTCATCGTAATTAATTGGTTTTCGGCACAACACAGAGTCAACTACTTAAGCTGCTTTGAATACCGGCCAATTATTAATTTATGCACATATTTTGACTTTCACTTAATGAAAAGAAATTAAAAGGTGATTCATGCCACAGGGCGGCCGTTGCACTTTCACGCCCAGACGTGTTCAACTTACTCGGATTGAGGGAGTAGGCCAGCTTCTTGGCGAACTGCGAGAGGCGCACGGACAGGACGATCACGGGGAAGCCGACCAGCTGCACGGGCAGCTCGAACAGCGGATCCGGATTCTGGGCCAAGCCCTGCTCCACATAGTCCAGCAGCAGCACCAGCAGCACGTAGAGCGTGGGCAGCAGCGACAAGGTGCAAATGTAGCGCAGATTCATGCTGGATGGAGGAGGCCAGACGACAAGGCAACTTGGTGCGTTTAAGGTCTTCGAATGACTGAGCCAAGTCAATGCGGCTGCGGGCCGCCAAAGCGCAGCAAACAAAACACAAAACTACAACTCGAAGAGAGAGAGGATGACAAAATTAAAGTGTAAAGCTAAAAAGCAACAACCACAGCAACAACAACGGCAGCAAGCGACGCTCTTCGAGCCAAGTTGGTGGCCAAGTTTGCTTTGCATTTTGACCAAGTTTCGTGCGGAAGCAAAAGAAGCCAAAGACAAGTGAAAGTGAGGCAATATGGTCAAGTAGAGGGCGCAGCCGAGCCTACCCAGTTGTGAGAGTGTGAGTGTGAGTGAGTATGTGTGTGTGGTATTTATGTGTGTGTGTGTGCAATAGTTTAAAAAGCAACCAAACTAGTTGCAGCTCAGCTGTTGCCTCTCTCTCTCCCTCTCTCTCTTTCTCTCACTCTCTCGCTCTTTCACTTTACTCTTCCTCTCTTGTTTTTCCTCTCTGTTTGCAATTATGAAAAGTTATGAAATTTTCCATTTTAGTGGCCATTACTTTCGCACCTGTAATTTCCTCTTGTCTTAGGCGCCGTGCCTTGGCGTGTCTGCCTGGGCTGGCTGGCGTGCCTCGCGTCTGGTATGCGTTACAGTTGGCTTTTGCATATCAATTACTTAATCTGCGTCGGTTTAGCCACATTCCGCTCGCGCTCGAGCTACCCGCCGTGTGTCTTAGGTTAAGGCTCGCACCCGAGACCCGACAGCAGCTGTTGAACAGTTAAGCAATTTGCACGGGGCTAAGTGTTAAGCAAAATAATACTTTAACTGATATATGAAGTAGTTTTTAGTATATATTAGTATGTATGTACACCCTAACTGACGGATGAGTATTTGGACTTGAGCTATTAATTTATCACAAGGAAATCATATATGCATATGCATTATATTTTTAGATAACCTTTACGCTCTTCTTTAATAATTAAGAAAAATAATTGCTAAAATGAGATATAAATTACGATTTACTATATTCCTCTGATTCACACCTGAGTATTTAAACTAGAGCAAACAAGCCGACATAAACTAAATATAGCCATACTATATATCTAGCTATATACATATATTGTATGTATATCATTACATTCTAATTAATAATATCTGTATATACAACTCAGCCTTAGACTTGAGCTAAACCTAAGAAGCAAAACAGCATAATTAATCATATCATAATCATCATCATCATAATCATGCAATTGGTATCATATAAAAACTGTAAATAGCATTTCATTCTCTTTTACATTCCCTCTTTAACAAATTATCAACAGTTCGTTAAGACGCATCTTCCCAACTTGGCTTACGGCAAACTCAGGCGCGGCCACGCCTTAGCCGTAGTTAGTGCTGCGATTATGAGCATCATCAGCTCGCATTTCCACACTCGAATTTTGCTGTTGTTGATTTGTCCAATTAACACAATTTGCGGCTCAGTTTAATAACTCAGCTTTGGGCAATCGTTTGGCCAATCATTTGTCAAATGCGTGGAGCTGCGCTCCATGGAGCACGTTGCGCTGTCCGCGCTTTATGGCCAGGCCAATTCAGCTCAGATTGATATAGATGTGCAGCTTGACTTTCAATTCCATGTGCATTGAGTAAATGTCCAGGAGAACTGATCATGGCTACTTATCTATATCGAGATCGAGTCAGTTGGCCAGCTGCTCTAGCTGTGCCTGCCGATAGCCACACAATCGAGTCCAATAACGGCTAATTGCTGACAAGAACTGACACAATCAGTCGATCGCTCGTTCAGCCAGTCTCAGGCTGAAACTTGACCGACAATGCTGCCAGTGTGGCTCTTGGCCAGTCAGTCAATCAGTCGACTGCTTGGTTACGCAAGACGGCGCCTGTTAACACTTGCGGATTAAGCTGCAACGACGGAGTGCTGCAACTTGGCAGCTCCCACTGCTAGCCTGGCTTACATGCGCAGCAATTTTTGTGTATTGTGATACCCTAGCAAAAATCTGAAGAGGGCATGGTTGACCATTATAGAGAAAGCAAAATTTTTGAGAGTGAAATGAATGAATGATCAGAGATTGTAATCAATATGGATAAATGTGGGCAATGTAATATCCAATGCGATATTCTAATAAGATCAGCTAAAAGAGCGGAGAGAGAACTTTATTGAGACCGCTTCCTTATATTCTCAGAAATTGTTCTATGAGCAGGGTCAGAAATCAGAATGATAGTAGAGCGAAAGAGAGAGAGGCAGAGACAGAAAGTGAGTCTAAGAGGAAGAGAGTGAGTTTGTGAGGTCCAGAAAGAGAGAGAGAGAGATAGAGTGTATGAGTCTGAGAGTAAGAAAGGGAGAGCAGCAGAGAAAAAATGAAAAAGACAGAGTCAGAAACCAACTAAGAAAAGAGACAGAGAGAGAGAGAGAGAGAGAGAGAGAGAGAGTGAAGCATAGATGGACAGAAAGAGAAGGTAGGAAGCATAAGGAGATAGTGAGACAAAGACAGGGGTAAATATTGGGATATTAAGGTAGTTTGTGCTCATCAACCTAGCTCTCTATACAACTCGATCTACATATACGTATAGTATAAGACAATATGTAAACCAGGTATGCAATCAGTATAAAAATAAATAAAAATAAATATATAATTAGTATAAATAACATATACATATATACATATATATCAAAAATATTCCTACAGCAATCAATATAGCTATAAAAAAAAAAAGTAGAAATTAATATTAACTAGCAAATCAATTTATCCAGTCATGCTTCAATAACTTTATGCTTTCAATGCAGTGCGATGTAGTTATACTTGAATCAACACAACTTTTATATTCATAACATGTACATAAAATTATTCGCAGGGTATTGGTGGTGCAACCACGCCACGTTGTTGCATTTGCATGTTGTTGTTGTTGTTGCTGTTTCCTTTGTTAGGCCGCGTAATTTTCATGTTTTTCCAGTTGCCTGACACTTGTTGCCGTTTTGGTTGCGCGCTCGCAGGTCCGGATCTTAAGTGGGAACTGGGCTGGCGAGAGTGAGAGAGTGAGAGGGCGAGAGAGTGGCGAGAGTGAGAGGGAGAGTGTCTGCCTTTCCTTTGCGTTTGGGCAATGCAATGCGGAAATATTAGGCAATGCAACAGTCTGATAGAAGTTCGACTGTCTGCGGAGACTGTCTCATAAGCTGCACTCGTCACACATTGCACAACAACAACAACAACAACAGCAACTACAACGGCAAACAACTTGTCAAACGCCAGACCAAATATAGCAAGAGCTGCATCGCTCGCCATCCCCAAATCGAAACAATGAAAGTCCGGCGAGGTCCACTTTTGGCACGCAACGAGCGTAACAACCGGCTGAGTGACCCAATTCCATTGATATTACAAATTGTTTACTTTTATTGTTTATTGTTTTGTGTTAAGCCATCCAATGAAGGCACCAAATAAACTGAAACGTAATTTCGCGCGATTGTTTTTAACATGCTTTTAGTTTTGGTCTTTGGCAAGCTGACGTGGCCTAAATCGTGGCTCTTGCCAAACGCAACGTGTTCGCAGCGCCATGATAATATCGATTATGCCACACAAGTCCCACAACTCGATTGCAGAGCTGAAAGAATGAATAATGAAGAGCATTCCGCTAGAATTGCCCAGCGAATTGACTTGTTTACTTTCTCAGCTCAAATTATTGTTTAACACTTAATTAGCCATTTAATATGTGCGCCATAAATGCGGCCATTTCGCTCAGATTCTTCAATTATTTTACGGCGCATTTGTGCGTGTGTGTGGTCAGTTTTACGCCCCGAGCATGCTCAATGAGGCAGTCAACGAGCCCGAATATTGTTGCCACTTTTTAGTGCCGTTTCGTTGAAACTGTGCAATGTCAACAAACGATTTGCATTTTAAGCGAATTCCTCTTCGAGGTGACTCAATTATTGCGCTCTGCCCAAAAGTATGCAATGAAAAGTATTGCAATTTACATATGAGTTGAGAAATTAACAACCAATATGATTCGCTTATCTGAGCGGAGGGACTGTCGGAAGTGTTTCAACCTGGAGCTATCAGAGCTAAAGTTGAAGACGCAAACCCAAAATTCGCAGAATATGGATTGGATGAGAATGGTTTCTGAGGCCTAAACGGCACTAAATATCATAACCACAGATTAATATATGAAAGAAATGCAGTAGAATCCGCTTATAGCGACTCCACTTAAGCGTTCGTACAGTTATTGCGACGAAAATTCGGATCCCTAGACAAAGAATGATCCCTTAAGCTTTTTTATAGCCGGAATCTACTGTATTCTTTAAAGCTAACATGACAACATTTCATCAGCTGACTGCGATAGCCTCCAAACACCGCTACTCATTTTCCACTCTCAGGCATTGAACAGTACTTAATTCGATTGGAAAATCTAGCTTGATCATGTTGAGATATTATAGTCTACACGCTACAATTACCGAGATGAGGAAATCAACAGTTGCAAGCACTTTCAGTTCAGTTACAGCTCTCATAATGAGCAACGAAAGTGTTGACTCACTCTGTTGGCATATCGTGATTGTGCTTTGGTCACACTGCGAAACTTGATTGGAGTGCGGCACGCCAAACTGACAGATTAGAATTGCCATTAAGTCTAATACAACATTTCCTAGCACTTAAGAAATAACAATTATAAATACATTTTGCATGCCGAAGGGCGTTTGGGCTTTAAGATAATGTAGCTCTATAATACACAGTTCTACATACATACATATACATATATGCATTTATTTATATATATTTTTCGAATAATAGTCGCATCATTAGTTATAGCAGAAGCAAAAGGCACTTTGGGGGGAATTCATATTAAATAACAATATGCATTTATTTACATTTACACGCGCATCGAACTAAGGCTAAGTTAACTAAAAAATAATTGAGATAGACTAGGCACGCTTAATGACTAATTAGCGCACTTAGAGCTAGCTAATCGATACGAATTACAAATTGTCACATCAGTCATGCCGTCACAGGCAGCCAGCCGAGGGCCTTGGAGAGCGAAAATTTATGGTACAATAGGTAAGTCTCTTCAGCGTCAGTATACAATCAACATCATGTGTGTGTGTGCGTGTGTGTATGCAATATTCGTCTGTATGTGTGTGTGTGCGTGTGTGCGTACGCCTACTACATTCTAGTGCTTAATTTAATAATCTATGATCACATTGGCTGGCATCAACTAAACGCGCACCTTATAGCTCAGTTTCATCAGCTTCTTGGAGCTGATGGGGCAGTTGGGCCAGAGATTGGCACAGCCCATGGGACCGCTCAGATTATCGCTAGAATGACGCATCAGTTCACCCATGTGGGCAGCAAAATACCATTTGCTCGGCGGCATATTCATCATCCAGGGCATAGTCGGCGATCTGCAAGAGACGACAGCAAAATGCGGAAGAATCGTTTACTAAATTTGTCTTATATACATATATGTATATATTTCTATACAGCTCAGGGTTTCACACGGGGTCGTATTTGTGTTACAGCTTTGTGTGCGAATGCGTGTGTGTGTGTGTGTGTGTGTGTGTGTGGAGACAGCTGCTCAGTAGAACACAAACGATTCTGTGTGTAGTCGCGGTAACAGTTCACCTTCGACTCAAGTGCGAGGTTACAGCGCGTCGCATTGCCTATGTGAGGTAGGTTAGGCCCGATCGATAGTGGAATCATGCCCATGCTGTTGTCTAAACAAGGCCAAGTGCTCGAAACGACTGTCAACATCTTCAGCTTGTGTTTTGTAAGCTGAGCTTTTAGTTCGTTGAACGACCCCACAGAGCAGAGATCAATGGCAGTTAAAGTGTTTATATATTTCTACTCTCAGTTGCTCTCACTTAAAAGGGTCAAACTACAAGCCACAGCTGAACTCTACATATTTACCATACATAGTTTATTACGTCTCACACTCACCTTATCAGTCTGAGCAGCTCGCGCTCCTTTTCGCTCAGCTGGTACTCCGGCTTGGCAGCCAGCTCGCAGAGCATCTTGGGCAGACACGACTCCTTGATGGTATCCGACAGCTGTGTCTTGCTCTTCAGGCTAGCTCCAGTGATAGCTGCAGCTGCCACGGGCTTGAGTGCAGCTGCAGCCGAAAATTCATCAAAGTCGTGCTCTACAAATTATTTAAATTGTTTAATTAAAAATGTTTTAAGATTTTTATCCGTTTTTTGCATTTGCACTTTGAAGTTTTCTTTCTCAAATTTGGGGTTTTTTTTTTAGCTATATATTCTGACAGAGAGAAAACTTTCAACTGCGCAAAAATAAACACGTTCAAGGCCACAGCAGCGAAATTCATAAATATTTTGGGAATCAAAACAAAAGAAACTTCTTAAAAGCGTCGAGTCGAATATGAATTTACTCTAAAGGTATTGCAGAGAAGCCATATATTAACTATAATATATATAAAAATACAATTCAATAATATATATCATATATATTTAATCTATCATATCATATACCAGAAAGGGAGAAAAAGAATGTGAGAGAGAGGGAAAGCTATATGCGCATGTACATATATCAACATTTCTATATCATTAAGCCAGAGTAAAAGTTGATTCACGACCGAGTCAATTATATTTCTATTAGCCAAGCAATTTAAAATTTTGTTTTGTTGTATATTTTATTATTATATTCTCTGAATTATAAAGCCTGCTCTAATATAAAAAATAAATAAAAATTACTGGAATCAACTAGCTATAAAAATGATTTAATAATAAAAAAAAAATAATTTAAAAATAATTTTACCTGAAGCCACACAGACTTTGCTGTTATAAAAATTGTTATTTAATATGTGTTGTAATGTTTATATATATACAAACATATTTACATAATTTCTGGGGCCACTTTATATACAATATGTAAAATAAATATGACAAATTATTGGAACCAACTGATATTATAAAAAGTATCTAAAATATTAAATTGCACTGATACACATTTTCTTGGCATTACTAAACTTTTTTAATCTTTGTTTAAACGACAAAAATAAGCCTAGAAAAAATAAATACAATATTTAAAACAGACTTCAGATATATATAAAAAATATATATTGTCAAAATGAAATGATTGGGATATTATTTTTAAATAATTAAGCACTGTTCTTTAACGTTAACAATAATACAACAAAATTCCATGGAAAAATGTTGGAATATTAACAGAGAACGTCTGGCTGGCGCTATGCGAATGACCCGCAGTGTATATATAATATATATATGGGAGAGTATACTCAAACTGGCAAATAAACGAAATATGTTTAACAATAAATGCGCATTTATATTGCTGAACTTGCTGTTTGTGGCAACTTTGGCTTTAATTAAACATCAACGCAAATATTTAGCTTTTAAATAGCCAGCAAGACAAATGGCAAGTGCTGGCAGCATCTAGAAGCAACTATCTTAAATTGACTTATAAATAAACCTTTTTCACTTTTAAATATTTGAATCGAGTTTCAATGTTGCGAATTGCTTAAATTTATTTTTATTTTGATTTTTTTGTTTTTAGTTTTTTCTTATAGACAGTGACAGGCGGTCAGGCGATTGAGAACTCGCCCCCTGCAAGGCCAAAACGTGCGTTGAACTTTGATTTTTTCCTAAACGAATTTCAATGGCTGAGACAAGTATTTGCTTAGTCATTTGGTCGGTGTTTAGATTAATTAATTATGGTGTTGTATAAATATTAAAATATTTAAGCTGAAACCAACTGGCACTTATTGGCAATTAACCACAAATCAGCGAACCCAACTGCTGTTGTCCCTCCTCCTGCTGCTGCTGCTCTACCCCCAGCCAGCTGAACTTTGTACGCGGAAAAGAGTTTTTGGGCTCGAAGCCAGTGAAAAGTGACGCAAACCACGCAGGGTGGCGTCTACTAATTTGTGGCTTTTAATTTATGGCCCAATGAATATTTTAGCCAAGTCTGCTTGTGGGGCGCGGCTCGACTCAAACCTGATTGCCAACGACGACGACTATCGCAATGCACTCGCAGCGATGCTGAACCTTTCTTTCGGCGAGTGATAGTCTACAGAGACTGTTATCCAAATCATATCCGAAATGAGCTCACTTTGTGTCTAACTGCACGTACTCAGTGTGGCTGCTTTGATTGGGCCTCGATAAATAACTGCAAGTTCTGCATGTTCATCACGCACTGCACTTATCAGACAACGTGCAATGCATGCCAAAGAAAATAAGTTCAGATTGGCTGTCGTACGCCTTGGTGAACGAAACCTGTAACGTAATGACCCCAGTTAGCTATAATTCCATTTTGCAAGCTATTAGCACCGATTTTATGCAATAGCCGAGAATTCATTTCAGGGCACTCTCGATTTCCGTAGAACTAGTTTGCCAGCATAGAGCGGGTATTACTTATAGAAACTGGTTTTCGGCCGGCATTTCCAATATGCTCAAATGCTTCACGCTTAAATCAGTTCAATCTGCATGAAAATAGCACAGATCCAGTCCAGTTCTCTTAGGTTTTTGTGCTCGAGCATTCGTCATTGTTCTGTTCCGCTAACTTCCTGTTAGCTTGGCATAATCGGAGCAGCGCTGCTCTGCACTTGTGTCTAGACGCTAGCCATGTGCACGGCATTGGAATCTCAAACGCAGCTAGATGAGGAACAATTCAAGTGTATTGTGAGAGATTCCCCATGGTGGTTAGGAAAGTTGCAGTGCAGTTTCCCACACAGATTTCCAGCACATGCAAAGGGGGACTGGGAACAAATAAAAACTTGTCGCTGTTCGTTGATTTTATTACGTGAAGTTTATTTGCTTGGCATTTTTCCACTTTCACCTCGAAGCAAGCAAAAACCAAACATGAAATCAGCCGAGACGAGAGAGAGAGAGAGAGAGAGGGGCCTCAAAGCCGATCGCAGATGATATCATGTTAATGAACTATGCTATTCCGGTTAGATATTACAGCTGTAGCTCTTAGGTGTCAAGTTAACATTTAACTGTTAAAAATTCACACTGGACCGGTGCACTGAAACTAGAGGTTATGGCTGAGCTCAGCTGTTATCCAGTTAACATGATCTTAACACGATTGCCATTAAATATTTACTTTGATTTTGGCAGGAACATAAAAAAGTCAATCAGGCAACAAATTAAGATCTGATTGCAGATAACATTATTAATGGCCGGAAAAGACCTCGTTGAAAAGTCAAAGTCGCATGTTAACATTCCATTAACATATTAACATGCTAAGATTGTAAATGCTATGTATTAACATTAGATTTGACAGTAACATAAGCAACAGTCAATAATGAACTTATGATAATTACCAATACTATAATTCACCCCAGTTAACATTAACTTAACAGACAGCGTATTAAATATTAATAAAAATCGACTGTCATATTGATATATTTCATTTCATCATTTGCCAGCTGTTATTTGTTCAATACTAACAATAGTTTGACAAGCGCTTAACCCACTGCCATACCACTCTCTTTCCACCAGTGCACTTGCTCTGCAGATAACATTCCCATTGACATGAGCTGCTCTCGAAATATTATCTCTAATGCTTTTTGACCTCAAATTTCAATAGATTCTTCAGCTCCATCGTTCACCCATAAACAAAAACCTGCCTCAAGCTGCACTTTGACTTTCGTTTAATTTAATTAAATTTTTATTTATTGAGCTCTACTCACATCTCTATCGAGAGTCGAAGCGTTGCATAATCGTACCCGCATGTTGAGGAAAAAAACAAAACCGAAATCATTTACGAGTCTTATGTCACTTGCCTACCATGACGCTATAAAATTATGCAAATCGCTGGGCATTGGAAAGTGGTTACAAACATGCTTCGAAAGCTTCAAACATTTGTGCGGCATGGGCATGGGCATGGGTAGACCATGTCCGGCAAAGCGTTAAATAATATGGAAATAATATGGAACGCCGTCTACCGCGAGCTCCCTTCAATATCTATTGAGTGGGCTGTATGGGAAGCCATGAAATAAGAAACAAAAATAAATCAGTTTAAATAAGCAAATTGGATGCAGATCAAGCTGGAGCTGAGATCGGTGTTAAATTATAAATAAAAATATCAATGATATTTAAAACTAGATTTCAGATTGTGACGTGATATCAGCTAAGAATAGAAATCAATTTCATATATTTTTTATTAAACTAGTCTCCCCTGAATTCTGTCTAGAACTGCATATAAAACTAGACTTATTTATTGATATTAAAGTCTCATTCGAAAAAAGGTTCCTTAGACAATGCCTACACACAAAAATGAGCTAACAAATAGCATGTCATGCTAGACTTATAGAAAAAAACCAAAAACTCGTATGGAAACTTTTTAATTAGCTGCTTAAAATGCGGAGCAATGATTTTCAGTTTTTTTTTTTGGCTGGCCAACACTTAAATGGCCTGTTAAATGTCAACATTTAAGTGTCTATGAAATAGTCTAGACAGTTCAAGCTAAAAAGCGACGCAACATGAGTACAAAGCCAAGTTATAAAACCCAAGACTGCCTAGAATTCTAAAGTTAATTGTGTATAATGTGAGAAAGAGTTTCTTAGTCTTATGTAAGACAAGATAGCCTTTTACTCGACAGACAAACAGACAAGGTTAAGACTTACTCAGCTCAAACTGCGCTAGAATTTAAATATATATACTTAATGGGGTCTGCACCGCCTCCTTCCCTAACTATTATGCCCTGATA